GAACTACTAAAACAATGGGCCAGCCTGTGTGATCAGAAACTGATGATCCTCTGGGATTTTGATTATTTGTAAACACAGAAAGTGATTAAAAATGGTAAAAATATCTTGTGAGCAAAGATGTTTTGTCCGCATCAGAGGTTAGTGGTAAATGGACAGACTGGTTTGAGATGATAGAGAAGTAACAGTAGCAAAAACAAAACTGATTTATGCAGAATGCCGCCTCGAAATGCAAAATATGTCAAACTTTGAAGCAGATGTACTATAACAGCAGAAAACCTCACAGGGTGCCCGAGTAGTCCGCCGAGAACAGAAAACTGTGGCTGCAGTTTACAGAGGCTCAGGAAAATTAGATGAAAACAGATTGGAAATATTGATTGGAAACACTGTGTTGTCCAATGAGCTTGAATTTTAGCTTTTAAATCAAAAATTGTACAATGGTGTGGGGGATGCTTCGTGGCACACGTTAGGTACCTAAGTATGCGTTGTTTAAATAGGACAACCTACTTGAGTGTTGTTGATGATCATGTCACTGCAAAGCCCTCTTATGACTATTTATATATAACTATACAATAGCCAGTATGTCTGAATTAGCACATCTTTGTTTCAGGACAAAACATGGTAGAACTAAAGCTAACAGAAAGTTAAGATATTCACTGCATTGTTAAAAGTATCTTGTAAGAAGCAACTTAATCCGGACGGATACTTTGCACCTCTTGCTTGTTCTCAGTTATTTGACCTGTTACCCTCTAGTAGTTGCATCAATTATTTTTGAACATAAACAATAAACCAAAGCAAAACAAGCCCCACAGACTAAAGTTTTTTTTCTCCCAAAGCCATAGCAAAGTTGAACTCCAAATGGCATAGATTCAGTAAATCCCAACACTTGCCTTCTTTGCTAAACTGTTACACCCAAACACTATTGCATTGTTTATAGAAGGAATCCAAAGCACAGGAACAATTAGGATAAGCATCATACTTTACTGGGTGAAATACACAATATCTAAATGGTGCAATTTATGTCTACTATCTCCCTTACCACTTATATTTATTCTGTATATTCTGTATAGCAATTGGCCATGCTGCACTTTTTCTGCTATGGTTTCATTTGTGGAGAAGCAGTAGAGCTTAATAAAGAAAATCAAGAGGCCACAAATACACACCAAGGCTCAAACTGTGTGTGTGTGTGATACGTTTATAATAGATTCAGATTAACTACCAGCTCAGATAAACAGATGTACAAATGCTGCTGCTCAGCGGCACAAAGAGAAATGATAAGGAGCATGGAGTCTGTTCTGCTTCACTGTTGCATAGGTTTCGTTTGGATGGATCCGTTTATCTGATCCGTCAAATTATTCAGTAACTTGCCCCAGTTTTTTTTTTAAGAACTACTTTTGCATTAAGAATCAATTATATGCACTCTTTTGTTTAATGGGTTTGTTGATTAGCTGTTTTGCTCAAGTCTTTCTTTGAATTTCTTGGTTGTAAAGTTAATCTAACATATTCCGTTCATCAATGATCAGCTGTTGTGAAAAAATGTCGATAGATGTAATCATGTTTTTATACATTCTTTGAGCTTTGGCGAATCTACCTTATTTCAGGGATGAGAGGAAACTGTACACCCTATGCTAGATAGTGTCAGTCAGTCTTAACTTCAGTATCTTTAAGTCATTGTTTAGTTACATTTGAGAAGGAGTTAAATATAGCTCAACATAATTTCTACTTTCAAACATACACAAGTTATACATGCCACAAAAAGACAGATGTGAGTTGGACCTGGATGTCTTGCAAAGTGCCTGATTTGTCGTTTGTTGTGAAAGTAAAAGTTGAACCTTGTTTTCACTTTGTTGTATCCATTATAGCCGGTTCGATTTTCACTTGAATGAAAAATTTTGGTATTCAGACCTTAGCTGCTTCAGGTTGCAACTGACAACATCTTTTTGCATCCAGGTGTCACTGCGGCATGTGCTGCCCTGGGCAAAGAACCACATTTCCCATATTAGTGAAGGAAAACATAAAAGTACAATGTTTATGACAAGCTTACCCGAAAGGGTGTCCATTTTGGCTAACTACCAACTTTATGACAGTCATCAGTTCATTCTTACCCAGAAGGACATGTATGGACATTTTAACCTCTGTTACTTAAAAAAAAAAAAGTTTCATTTTGTTGTTTTCTTCTTAAAGTAGTTTTGTTGGTAGAAGTGTTGATGACTTAAATATTTGCCTTTTGTTAAGATCTCTTTTATTTAAATTCTCTTTTAGCATTATACCACCAACCTGTCTGGGATTATAGGTGAAAATCGGCTTGTTGGGTACAACCTATTTCCTTTGAACTTTTGTGAGTTAAATACATTTGCAAAAAACAATAAAAATACCAAAAAAAAAATCCAATGACAGATCAAAGCTGCTGATAATAGCATATTTCCTTTTTTTTAATGTGTGAACATTAATAATTGAGGCAAGCTTATATGCCTGTTTATGCTGATCCAAATACTCAGCTCTTGCACAGGTACAAAGTTGCAATTACTTACCATTGTTTGGCATCTGCATCACAGTTGCAGTCGTACTTGGGGTCGGTGCAGTTTTTGTCCATGCCACAGGCGCACTTTTCTATCCCAGGTCCTGATCCGCCCCAATAAAAATGCTTCTCGCTGCCTCGGCCAACCCACCATGTGTAAGGGGGTCCGTCTATGAGTGAAACACAAAATGCAAAGGGAAACCTGTCAGTCTTTTTCCATCCTCTGTGTGTTCGCCGTGCTGCTTATTTGACTCCTTGCAGAAAGGCAAAACGGACGGACGAAAATGCAAACAAGTGTGGAGGAGGTAAAATTGTTTGTTGAACCCTTTAAATTCAATATGTTGAAACGTCGATAACTCCCAAACATTTTATCGAGGTTTCTTTAAATAAGACAATATTGACCACCGATAGCTGCCTGCTGAATGAAATTCATTTGCTCACCATGTTTAGACACGCAAGTACCTCTGAGACTGACAGACACACCTAGTCACAGATCATTCAAGGGGGTTTACAACACAAACACAGGGTCAGCGTTGCATTTTCATTCATTTCTACACGAGGCATGTACGTATAACAATGCCAGAGTACTTATAAGCTCTTTTGAGTGCATCTCTTTATGCTGCTTGTGTGGATGCGTCCATTGTCAGATAAAAGGTGAAGAACTGCTGACTGTCAAGAAGAAATGTGATATTGTTTTATTTGCCTTGAACAATATTTTCTGGCATGTGACGGTAACTATGCTGAGAGAAAAGTGTGAATGCATAGGTGGCAGGCAATATATCATAGCAAAGTAAAATACTAAAAAAAAAAAATCAATATGAGGTTTAAAAGAATATTAGGTTTGTAACTTTATTCCTAGGAAATAAACTGGATGCTCAATGACAGTTTGTAAAATGCCATCAAAGCCAATGGAATCTCCTGAGCCATCCTTTTCACAGAAAGGGATTGAAGCAGACTCTTGATGAAGCAAAACTGCATTGAGAGGCTTGATATATTGCATTATCACAGTGTGCGGGGCTAAACTCCAGGAGGAAGCTAAAAATGTGTCTATGTGTCTCTTTACTGTGTGTATGTGTGTGTGTGCTCGGCCTTGGTGACCCACGGTTTTATTGCTCTTGTGAAGAGAATTAGCTTCATCTCTCTTCAGGCCACTGTTCAGACAAGCCATCATCAGTAGGATTAACAGCGCTGCCTCAAGAGACTTCCTCGTGCTCTCATTTTATGTGTTCATGCGACTCTCTTCTTGCTGTTGCACTTCCATACAAGTGAGAGTTAGTTTATCTAGCACCGTTTCAGCCTCGCTCTTGGAGCAGCGATCCCACAGCACAGCCAACCTGGCCAGAATATCCACGAGAGCCACTCATCTTGTTAAGTCATTGACCCTGAAAGGGATCCGTAGCCTCTTTGAACATGTTCAAAATGAAAGACAAGTGAATGTAAGTACACTCCTCTCACTTAAGTAGATCTTTCGAGCAGAAGTACAAGTACCAAAGGGATACAAAACATCATCAGTGTGTCACTCTCGAATTTACATGTCTCCCTAAATAAAAAAAATAAAAATAAAATAAGACATACCAAAAACTTCTTGCACGTTTTACACAATGGCTATTTAGATGCAGAGTTTTTCACTAGCATGCCAGGAAACTTTTTTTTCCCCTCAATGCAAGTCCAGATTTATGTGATATGTCATATGTGAAAGACTTTGTATTTGTGTATATTTATTTTCTGTACTCTAAGGCTCGCATCTTTAATTTTAGTTTCTTTTTGTAGACCTTTGCCTCTTATCTGACACTTTAGTTTTTATGTTCTCTGTATTCCATGTACTTCTCTTTTTGCTTTGCTTTCCTCTTTTAGAGTTTCATTGTAACCGTTGGATTTGGGACTTTGGGTGATTCCTGCTTTGCTTAGTTTCATGACTGCTCAGTTTGTGGTTTCTGCTTCTTCTCAATCATTCATTCCATTAGATTCTCCCAGGTCTCGCAACCTTCTTGTCATCCACTCAGTCGGTCTCCCTTTTTGTCAGTCCACCCGTTTCTTTCTCCAGTGATCACATCTCTCTCTCCATGTGTGTTCATTTTGTCTCTGCTGTTTCACCCCTGCTGGAATTTTGTTTTTGCTCTGGTCTTTGAAAGCTAGACTTTGTTTTCCATTATTAAGACCTGTTGTTTTATGCATCAATCCTCCCTCCAGTATCCCTGCTTTCCCATATTTGTGTCCTTCATTCACCCACATGATATAAACCTTCACGTATTAGGCAACACAAAAAACGTTTTACATTTCTAAACTATATTGGACAAAGCAGACAGTGTCATTAAAGCAAAAAGTAAAGCAAAAAAACAAAACAAAAAAACAACCAAAACAAACAAACAAACAAACAAACAAACAAACAAACAAAAAAAAACATCACTGCTGTTTAAACATGAGTCAACTTTTAGATTTTGTTAAAGAAATGACCTCAGCCTTGGCAAGTTCTGATGATTTGCATCATATTTTCCCTAACTCTTTGAAGTTTTCTCACCAACATCACAAGCCTCTTTACAGCAAGAGCCATGAAAAACAACCGAAGCACCAGCATGGCCGTGGAAAGAAACATAAAAACTGTTCTGCTGAGGATAAATAGAGAGTAGGAGAGAGCATGGGAAGAACATACTGCAACGTAAATAAATTCTAGTCGCCTTCACAGTCCGAAGAAAGTTGACTAAGAATATGTGAAACAGACACATGTATACCACACATGATAAGTAGTTGAATACTGTTCTGTATATTGTTTATTTGTTTTATTAGACAAATAAACTTTCTCCTGGTGTCTTTTTCTTGAGCACCAGTTGCTTGGTTTGTCTTTCGGCATGCTCCATTTTTGTTTTAACTGACAACATGCTGATCACTGAGCACAACTGTTTCTTGATTTGCTTACAGCATGTATTGTTTTCAAAACTTCAAACTTTGCTTTATTACTGATCACATTTCTCATTTTCTTTTACTTTGTTTACAAAGCTTCATTGACAGGGAACTGGCTTTTTAGGCTACAACTAACTTGGATGGTGTTATGATCCACAGGAAGCATTTTGCACATCTGCAGCAGGTGACTGTAAAGTAATTTTAAAAATGATTCAGGCTAATGGGCACAATCTGTAAAAACCAAGACGAAAAATGCATGTGAGGTAGGTGCAAGAAAAAGTGGGGCAAAATCACACATCCTCTTTATGAAGGAAAATTATGCTTCAGATCTGGTCTAATAGAGCAAGTTCAAGCTAGATGCTAGCCCACTGCTTCACTCTCTGAAATTCTCTCTTACTCCTGTCTGGTCTTCTAACGTGTAAAATTGAAGGCCAGGACTGCATTGTCCCAAAAGGTCAAGGTAATCTACTGCTTTGTCTCACACATCTACTGGAAACGGTCCAAACAAAAGGTCCAAACAAAGCTGCGCCGAATGAAGAGTGCTTGGACACCGAGGTGGCGGGATGTAGATGATTCTCAGCTGCAGAGGAAGAGGTTTATTAATGTGGTTCAGGGACAAGTGCCAGGTAGTACTGATTGGCACAACTGTGGAGCATTACTAATCAGTCTCCCTCTCTCATTATAGGAGTGCTGTAGCCAAAAACACCAGTCTCACAAAGAGTTGCCACCATATGGCGGCCACAATCTATGAACTGCTCTCAGCTCCCTAAATAAATAATAATAATAAAATAATATATCTTGTTTATCAGGGGAGGAAAGCAACTTTATTGCTCTGTTATAATCCTGATTGGGAAAACTGGGAGATTTCCTGGTGGGCCGGTCTGACATTTATGGAGAGGTTGTCTTTGAATTTAACCTGATGTAACAGGGTCACTGCTCATGGTCATTGTTTAAAAGAAGGAAAGCAGAAAGTATTTAATCTCCAAACACTTATTTGAGAAAATATATTTTCTGATATCATGGAAAAAGGATCTGTTGAGTAGAATATTGTTTGGCAAGTTTGATATGAAATCTATACTGTGAAGCAAAAACGCACTATATTACAAAGAGAGGACTATTGTAGATTTAACATGTACTATTTTAAAAGATATAAATAATGATAGATTGTTATCCAGCGTTGGCTGGTCTGAGGCATGAAGCTCCATCACATAACTGCCCAATTAAATGGATTTAGTTTTGTGGTTGTGAAGTTAATAACATTGGAAAAAAAATTAATCCATGTACAGTTTCATGGTACTGCTCCTCTGAGTAAACTCTCTGATGCTGCAGTGATTAAGTAAAATATTTAAGCTCACAAATTAGCTGATTTTTTTCTTATCTCATGGAAAGAACATAAAAAATAAAAATCACTTGATAATTTGCCTGTTACTTACAATGCCTTATCAAAGTTTTCTCTATTTTTGTAGGGAAAAACAGCAAAAATCGAGTATTCCAGAGCCAAAACGACACACTTGACCACTTTCACATCTTGGGTGTCTGTGATAGGGGGGAAGATGAGAGGAGGCAGGAGGAGGGGGACGGTGGGGCATCAGGTGGAATGGGAGCCATGTATTGTGCCAGCTTAAGTCTCCTGTGTGGTTTGGTTTGTTCTGCCAACACAAACAACTCATGAGTGGAGAAGGAGAGAGGAAAAAGAGTGGAAAGAGAGATGAGAGCACAGCAGCACTGATGGGTGAAGATGTTAGGGGGGAGAGATGAAATCAGCCTGGCACAGAGTTCAGATGAAGATCCGCAGAGAGAGGCCGCTGCCAAGATGGCTCCGAGTGGCTTTTTGTTTTTTTTTTTTTTTTGGTGTGTAGGTGCGTCCTTGTGTCTTTGAGAAGAAGAAAAAAAAGTAGGCATCTCTTCAAGGGAGGAAACTTGCAAGGTAAAAAGTGTGATTAGTGTACACAAAGTGGTAGAACACACTCATATTTGTGCAAGTCTACCTAGTGCAATTAAATATAATGTGTTTAACATCCATCCATCCATTCATCCATCCATTGTTAAAAATAACCAGCTTTATAAAAGCTTAGACAGCGTGTTTGTCTGTTCTTTATAACCTTAACTCTCTGCATCTATCCTAATCCCTTTCTGCTTCACCACCAAATCCCCCCACAAACATGGATAATGTTTATAGGAGAGGAGAAAGCAGCCATGACAGATTGATAAGGCCTGGGGTTGTGTTCCTCCTCTGTCCTCAGGGACAACCACACAGCAGCACTTGTTGTGA